AGACGGAAACACTGATGTGACAAACATGGAGCAGGTGCCTCCTGTGTGCCCTCTACTGGTCATCGAGCCCTGGCTGGGAATTGAACCGGGAATCGAACCGGGACCTCTCAGTCCACGGGATGACACTCAACCCACTGAGCCACACTGACCAGGCACCACTTCTTTCTTTCTAAATGAATGAGCTCATGTGGGCTCACTTCATGTTCCAGAGAGAGCAGCAGACATGAAGAAGTGTCTCAGCAGCAACCAAGCAGCACAGAGGACAGCTGCGGACACACAGGGCTGTCAGGGTCAACCCATCGTTCGTGTTGTGGTTCTTGGCAACGACGCTGCCTGTGTCTAACTATGGTCACCGAGGAAGCTGAAGGACCAATGCCCCTCTCCAACAAATCACTCCATTTCATTTGCATTTAATTGCCCTCATTCACACCTAATTATGAATTTTTTTCTAACATGTTTCCTAACTTACTTGACTAAAATGATGGCCTGGGTGACACAAATATATGACACACCTCCTAGAGAATAGAAGCTGGAGAAAGGAAAAGCAACAGGGAAACTGAAGATGCTTCTACTGAGTCAGGCTCCTCTGCAGTCTTCCGAGGTCTTTTATTTCCCCCTGAGGAAACGAGGTTGTTCTTGGTGCTGGTACGAATGGGTTATTAAACATAAGCAGAAGGCAGGGTCCCAGGGAGAACAGTGCAGCGGGTTTGGTGGCATCATCCTTCCTGTTCCCAGAACCCTATGCCAGTGCCGTTCTGACTCCTCTCACATTGCTGCATTCATTTGATTACTTGCCTTCCCTTCCCACTGTCCAGCATCCTATAAACTGAGCTTTCCAGGAAAAGGCCCCTGTTAGGCGGGCATCTTTGCATGCCAGCACTTAATCTGATGTGGGCTAGGCGCCGCCAGCCTGCTAAATTAATGTGTCACTTAGTGTGATGAACAGAATAATGTCCTCTGCCCCCAGATGTCCACATCCAATCTCTGAAACCTGTGAGTGTTACCTCATATGGCAAAAGGAACTTTGAAGACGAGATTAAATTAAGGACCTTGAGATGGATGCGTCTAATGCAATCACAGGTCCTTACAGAGGGAAGAGAGCGGGTCAAGAGAAGAGAGACCTGACTGTGGACGCGGAGTGGCGTCCTGCACTGTGAAGATGGAGGGAAAGAGCACAAGCCAAGGAATGCTGGGATCTGGAAAAGGCCAGGAGACGGTTCTGCCCGAAGCCCGCAGAAGGAACGCCCGCACCATGATGTCAGAGGTTTGACCTCCAGAATTGCAAGAGTTAAATTCATGTGATTTCAACTCTCTTAGGTTGCTATGGCAGCGACAGGAAACTACTACACTTATGTAAACAAGAAAATAAATAACTGTCACTTGAATAAATGCATGTAGAGAGCTTCAGATAGAAAGTGGAAAGGCTTATATTTAGGTCAAAGTTTGATAATAATCATGGGTAACTTGGGCTCCATCGTTTAACCTCTCCGGAATTCCTCAGCACAAAGAGCGGAGACCATGGGGTCGGACAGACAGACTAGGATCCGAATCCCTCCTGGCTACTTCCAGGCTGTGCATCCCTGGGCAAGTACTTGCCTCTCTGCGCCCATGTCCACATCTGTGCGATGGGGATAGTGACAGACCCTCCTGCAGGAAGTTGTTCTGGGGGCTGAATGAGCTACAATCTAGCACATTCAGTGGGACTCTGAACTGGGTCCATTTGAAGTTGTGGTTACATAAAAATGTTATTAATGTCACTGCATGCAGAAACCTTGAAATCATATACATTGTCCAAATTATAAAGAGTCAAGAACTGCACAACCATACAAGGGCCAAGCTGGTACACCATAAACCACCGACTAGCGGTGTAAACCACTGTGCAGCTGCTGAACGGACATGCCCTCATCCTTTGAGAGAGTCTGTGTTGAATTATACGTTATAAATTAGGCCAGTAACTAGTTATGAGGAGACGTCAGGAACACGCCCATTGAGCAAAGTGTGACCACCCTCTAATGTGTGCAAGGCAGTTAGTGTGGGCCGGTACACAGGGCTCAGGCTCTGCAGGTGTTACTGGCTGACAAAAGCCTCGGAGTGAACTTCCACTGTGGGGAATGAAACCCGCTCCCACCCTCCCACGGGCCTCAGCTTTGCGTGGGCCTCAGCTTTGCGTGGGCCTCTGGCTCCTGTCAGAGAAATCTTGCTGGTAGAAAATCCGAGTCAGGTGTGCTAACAACACCCCACACTATGAAGCAATACATCTCCCAGCTCGTATTTGAACCACAATCTGACTTTAGGAAGGTGTCAGCTCCGTGCTTACCAGTATCAGCATGTCGTCTTGTACAGACCTATTTCGCTGCTATTCACCACGCTTAGGGCACCAGAATTTGTGAAACGGCGGGGACCTCCCTGGGCCTCAGTGCTGCCCAGCGAGATTTCTCTGTCCCTGCTCTCCCTTCCAATTTCTTGACTCCCCAGAGAACAGGCTGTGCTTAGCACATGCTACAGGCTCAGCGCACAGTTACTGAATGTGTGAATGACCGCATGGGCTGTGGAACCCGCGTCTGTCTCATTTCACATGGAGCCTGAGGTCAGTTAGAGCAACGACTGAAAAATCCCTTCTGAGTTTGTATTAATTAAAATGATTTATTGCGCCCTGGCCAGTTTGGCTCAGCGGTTAGAGCGTCGGCCTGCGGTCCGGAGAGACCTGGGTTCAGTTCCCTCTAAGGGCACGTACTTCGGTTGCAGTTTGTCCCTGGCCCTGGTTGGTCGTGCGGGTGGCAGCCACTCGATGTGTCCCTTCACGTCGATGTTTCTCTCTCTCTCTCCCTCCCACTCTATCTGTACAAAAAATGGAAAAATATCCTCAGGTGAGGATAAAAAAATAAATAAATAAATAAATAAAATGATTTATTGCCTTCCCCCTAGAGGGAAGCACTGAGTACCCCAACCTAATGGACTGGGTTTATAGAGAGGAAAAGTTTTAAGACACATTTTCTACAGTGCACCTGTTTTTCTAAGTAGCTTCCAGTAACATCCCGATGATGATGTTAAATGCTAGTAAGCGGTGCAGAGGTCAGGAGAGACTGGCCAAAGGGAAAGAGGAACCTGGATGAGCAGCGGGGCGGAGTTTGGGTGGAGCTCATGAGTGATGCTGGGCTCTGGGCCCTGACTCAGGCCTGGCGTGAGGGGCGGAGCACATGCCTTCCGTTTCAGATTCGCAGGACCCTTTCAGCCTGCAAGGAACCGCTTGCTGCAGAATCAAGCCTCCTCCTCACCTTTCTTTCTTATTTATACCTCAATGTTCTACCAAAGCAGATGCAATATGTAGGACAGACTCAGGGCTAGGAGGACCCAATCCTTAGCTAATGAAGCAACCACATGTCAGGAGAAGCAGACTGCGAACTCCCAGTGTAAAGACCACTCCCTCACAAATGCTTTTGCAAGAAATGGATTTTAGCGATGTATTTTTAATCCTCACCTGAGGATATGATTTTTTAAAAACTGAATTTAGAGGGAGAAAGAGAGAGAAAGAGAGAAAGAGAAAGAGAAACATCGATCGTCTGCCTCCCCGCTGTGCCCTGACTGGGGATTGAACCTGCAACACTTCAGTGAACGAAACAATGCTCCAACCAACTGAGCCACATCGGCCAGAATTTCAGTGATTTTTTTTTAATTGTCTTCATGACACTGACTTTAATCTCCTCTTAGGCGGCTTAAGTCAACTCCTTGCATTGTTTTCACTGGAGATGGAGAACAGCCGTCCCACTGTCCTGTGCATGTTTCAAGAGTCAGCTAATTCTGCCTAGACTCATTAACTTTGTATGCTACTGTGACTTTAATGATCATTAGTCCTTCTAATCTTCCTCATAACAAGTTAGGTTGCAGAGCCCTGGACCCATGAATTCAGGAACACTAGTGTGAGGTGCGCTTCAGCGGGTTCCTGTGCTCAGGCCCTGAGTGCTGTCCAGTGATTTCCTCGGCCCATCTCCTCGCCCGTCTTAGCTTTCTCAGCTCTCTCTGCATAGTTGCACAATGGCTATGGGTCTCCATTTGTGATTTTCAACCAAAGTCCTCTATTTATCTATGAAGAGAATCTGTGTTCTTCCTACTGTACTTCTCTTCCCTCTGCCAGAGCCTGCCCATCTGTATGCCCAACGAGGGTCATACTCGGGTTAACGTCCTGCTCCCAGCCGGGCCACTTTGCTAGGGCTAAAGGAAGTGGGCTGGGGAGGTGAGCACAGGAACCCGCTGAAGCGCACCTCACACTAGTGTCCCTGAATTCATGGGTTCAGGGCTCTGCAACCTAACTTGCTATGAGGATTGGGGCTCCTGGAAGATGACAACTTGCTACTTCATTGACCCCTTACTCTCTTTGGACCTCTTTAGATTCCACATCGCCCAGGTGTGAGGCCACACCCCTGAGCACGGCACACGAGCGTGACCTTACCCAGCTCTCCCGTGCACTCAGCCTCACAGCCAAACTTCTTCTCGCACCAGGCCCTTACTGGATTAGCATGAGCTTCTTATTCTCCGTGGGCCAGCCACGCACAGGTACCCCACTGCACCTGCAGCGCCCTCCCCTCCGCCTCCTCGCCCTGCCTTGTTCTGCTCCTCAGGCCCACCTTAGCTGTCACACCCGGGAGGTATCCCTCAACTCCCAGCCAGGATGAGCCACCCTGCCCTGTGTGCCCAGGGAAGGTTGCAGCCCTGACCACAAAGTACTACGATGTTTGTGTAGGTCTCTCGGTTTCACTGCGAACTTACTTTTTATGTCTTCCTACGACCAAATGTACAATCTGTGTCACAGTAGGAGTTCAAACAATGAATGAGTTAAATAAATGTGCACATGATTCTTCAAACAGAGGTAGCTCTATGGCTCCCAGCACCCGGGTCTGGCCCACACTTGTTTGTTTATCTCCGAGTTAAGGGGGGCAGAGCTAGAGAAATATGAGAAAAACAAGCTGATCAGTTCTCGGTCAAGAGTAAGAAACATGGCGTACCTGATAGACCATTATGTTAACAGTTTCTTCTCTCTTCTGGTCTGGAGGGCCCTGATTCTGCAATAGATTTCGTACTGTTTCTTCCATCCTGAAAAATAAAAACAAAACAAAAAAATAAAATAAAGAAATTCTTAAAGAAGTTTTTCTATTAACATGAGTCTATTCCCCATAGTAGACATTGATCTTCAATGTATATTTCCTAAGCTTCAACTTGAAAAATCTTCTTTGTCTTCTCTTGCCTGCATCCCCTGTATCAACAGTCTGTCATGAAGTCCTCGAGAGTCAGTCTTCAGGAAGCCTCTGGGTTCTCTCTCTGTATCAGGCAAATCCTTGTCTCTGCCTCCGGTGTCTGTACTCAGGCAGACATCTGCCAATACCCTCTTCACTTTCAATTGCTCCCTTTTAATTTGATACAATGTTACCACATTCATCTTCTTGAAATACCACTTTGATTTTTTAAAATCAATGTTCAAAGTTTACAAATATTAGATAAATGCATGTTTTACCATTAATATCCCATTATGTCTTTCCACAGTGGTCCTTCTGTGTCAGCACACAAAGACCTACTTTACTCTTTTCAACTACTTCCTAGTATTTCTTGATGTGACGGTACCACAAATCATTTAACCATTCCCCTATTGACAGAATTTAAATAACTTCAAAATTTTGGTTATCTCAAACACTAAATATCTGTACACATACATCTTGGTACACATTTATGAGCATTTCAATAGTTATAATACTATTATTATTTCAATGCTCACCTCTAATACCCTTCCCGACCTCCGCATGGCCCAAAAGTAAACAGTGAAACAAACACACCTATTTCCATTTCCAGACAGTGTCCCATGCTCTTCCTACTTCGTGGGATGCCAACACCCCTTTCCTTCTCAAATCCCATCCATCCTTCAAATCCACCTGAAGTTTCACATCTTAAGAGACTTTTACACTGGTATCCCACATCTTTGAATTCTTAGAGGCCTACACTTTAAATCATTCAGCCATCACTTAGCACCCCCTATTTTAAATGCTCAATATTTCATATATGCTTGTCTTCTGAAGTAAATAAAAATATTTGGTATAGGACTACATCATAATGTCTTATGTGTCTCCCTCAATTATGCATGAAATAGTATTCAGTATACATTGTTACATGAATCTTTCGTTAATTTATTTTAAAAAGCACTACGTACTCACTCTCAGGCATTTGCTACGTGTATGCAAACTGTGTTTGAATGACCTTGTCCTCGGGCCTGTCCTTGAGGATCCAGGAACAGGCTCTGAGAGCGGGACCTGCACCACTGCGCCAACACAGTGCTCTCCTGCCAGGACCCGAACTGTTGTCTCCTCCGGGCCCTTCCTGAAGCACGTAGTTTGGTGACTCAGTATGATACTAGTTTCAGACAGAGAGCAGGCTGATCCAGCTTCTCTCTCTTGCTCAAGACTTCTAGGATGGCAAACTAAGGGCTCCAAAATGCCCATGAATTCCCTGAAGTGGTTAGACCATTACAGTAACCAAGGCAGTATAGATCAAAATGCCAACCTTTCTACCACATCATATCACTGCTGAGAAGCAGAGTGAGGAAACTGCAGGGGAGCTAGTCCAGCCCAAGCCTGGACATAACTGGGGGACTTGTGCCTTTACAGGGGATAGTGCCAGGACCCACTCAGGACTTCAATAAGACGTGGACACCAACTGTGAGACCAGACAGGTATGCAAAATGCCTCTTCATGCGTCCGCCCAGGAAAGCAAAATCTGTTTCCTATGTGTTCACAAATCTGACGTTATTAATAATAGTAACTCAAAATTAAACAGTACTTTTAACTTGTCAAAGAACTCTCTCATCTATTCCTCAGTCTAATATACTCTACAAACATCATTATATCTACATGGTAGATAAGAAAGCTGAGGCAACAGAGAGGTTAAATGGCTTACTTACAGAATTATGGTTTGTTGAATAGGGAGTTAGGATTAAATCATTTTTACTGGTTGTAAAAATAGTAGCCTCTTTCCACGAGGCCTAATTTACACGCAGAGAAATGATTTTATTTATTTCTTAATTTGAGAGAGAAAGAGAGAATAACATTGATTTTCTGTTCCACTTATTAATGCATTCATTGGTTGATTCCTGCATGTGCCCTGACCAGCGATCAAACCCACAGCCATGGTGTATTGGGATGGCCCTATAACCAACTGAAACTACCCACCTGGCTAGAGCCTGCAGGAAAATTATTATTTGTTTGTTTGTTTGTTTGTTTGTTTCTTTATTGATTTTAAAGAGAGAAGAAGGGAGAGGGAGAGAGAGATGGAAACACTGATGAGAGAGAACATCGATTGGCCGCCTCCTGCATGCCCCCCACTGGGGATCGGCCCACCACTGGGCATGTGCCCCGACAAGGAATCGAACCAGCGACCTCTTGGTGCATGGGTCGGCACTCAACCACTGAGCCACAGTAGCCAGGCAAAAAGTATTTTAAGTAAAGAAGAGTTTTAACTCCTGATGAGGAGTTACCTTGGTGAACACGCACTGGATGCTGAAGGCTGTTAAGACCATTGTCTCTGACCTAAGGAGGGCTTACTCTCTGGTGGAAGAGACGAAACCAAATTTATGTGGAAAAAATAAGTGGAAAAAGTCACAAATTCGAAACCAAAACTGATCACAACCCATTTCCAGTGCTTTATGTCTCTGTATATAAACAGAAACACTCTCTTGAATGGTAGTGAATTTCGCTTGACGTGCTAAATCTCATAGATGGGAAAGGTGATGATAACGACGATGACTTGCTGGACTTCCCTCAGCTCACATGGGACAGATCAGAGACTAACTTCATTTTCTAAACACTAGTCTATTTTCCTCCCACCTTAGCACAGAGCCCAGAGTTCTTTCTTTTTTCAATCCTTCCTTCCTTCCTTTATAGACATTTGGCATATAGGGGGCCCAACAGTTAGAACTCTATTAAAATTAAAACCTTGCCTTTTTAAAAGTTAAGAAAAAGAAGTTAAAACACAATTCTGTGACTGTGCATATCTTGCTGAATTATCTCTCTGTGCAATTAAAAGTTCTATGCACAATGGCTAGATCAAAAAAGATAATAAAAACATATATTCACCTTTCCCCAGTTTTTCTTGGCTTTGTATTTTTAAAAAAAGGAAAATGTGGGGGTGAACAGAAAGTTATTAAAACAATCTCAAGTAGCCCAGACTCACAGTATTACCATGACTAATTAAATTAATTATAATTATAACCAATTACATTTCCAAGCTACATCTTGGCATGGAGTTGCAGGGATTGATCCCAACACTTGGAAGAAAATTAAATTGTCTCATCTTTTCATAACCTTTATGAATCTGGTCACAGAGAAAATATTTTGAACCTGATGAGACTATACCCTTATTTATCTCTGATGACATCTTCTTCCTTTTTTTTTTAAATTTTCATTTAGCAAACTTCTCTATTTATTTTCCAGAAAATTAAGGACTGTGAAGCATCCATTGTCATCTGAACGCCCAGTGACATTTTGCTTCCTTTTGTTATTTTGATAGCCGAGGTGTATGGTTTGCATCACCAGTCTGCAGAGAGAATAATTCTACCATCTGCTTCCCAAATGTGACCAAAAAACCCAGCCAATTCCCTTCTCCAGGTCAGGTGTGGGCAGAGGGAATGTTTTCGTTTGCTTGAAGTTGCTGATTGGTGAAATTTTTCCTTAAACACTGGCCTTAGGTAATGTCTTCCAGTTTTTTTTTTGTTGTTGTTGTTGTTTTTCCTGTTATCCAACTTGAGTCTAAATCCTTTCTTCCTCTAAATACTGGGCAAATAGCTGTTATTACTAGAAAAATATAGACCAAAATGTTGTAATGTCTATTAATAAACTATTTTTTAAAAAGACCTACACAGAAAAAATAAACCAAATACATTTTCAAAAGGTATATTTCACCCAACAAAAATGTAAAATGTAACTTTTATTTTATTAAAAATAGGTTATGTTTTAAGGCACATATCATTTAATTTGTAATTTCTTATTATAGTATTTCATTGGAGGGAAGCAAAAAGAACCTCGAACAAACATAGTCTTTGCTTGAAAGGGGCAATAACTTAAAGTTAGGAAAAATGGACATGAAATAAAAATGCAATAAAAAAAATAAGAATTCAAAACCACACAAGACCAGGATCAGGGAGTCTTGCTCCAAACTGCTCTCCCTGGGCTCCACTCTGGCATGTATCCCCTTGCAAAGCACAGACCACGGGGTGCTCATCACGGGACCTGCACCCAGGGCCTCTCAGAGAGGGTCTCCCAGACACCAAACAAAGATATTTCTGGAAGCAAGTGTTAAAAGACAGTGGCTTCCTGAATCCTTCCAAGGCAGGGAACCATCTGACCGTGCAGGGCCTGATCATAAGAGCTCTTTAACATCGGGGACCACGCTTGGGGTCCTGAAGATATTGACGTATTCACTGATACAAGCACTATCAGAAAACAGACCCCAGGCTGCATCAGGAGCTGCCAGGCCTAAGCGCATGTAAAATACAGTGATACCTCGGTTCTCGAACGCCTCGGTTTTCGACCAAATGGAGATTCGAGAAACTTTTGTCTCGGAATCCGAACAGATATTTGGAACTCGAACTTCCGAGATGAGCCGAGTTGAGCCGAATGGCGTTCATTCGGCCCAGCGCGCCTTGCTTGCGTCATCAGTGTGAGTGCAGAGAGAGAGTCACGCTTTGTGGAGTCACGCTTTCCTATTGGGTTTCATTGCTTCGGTTCTAGAACAATTCGGTTCTTGACTGTCCTCCTGGAACGAATTATGTTCGAGAACCGAGGTATCACTGTAATGTGAACTTTTCCACATCTCTTCCTTCTTCCTCAGGTCTAGCCCTGTTTTGCCTAATCCCACTCTAGAAAATTACCATAACATTAGACTGACGTGGTCCTTGATTCCTATGATCAGATACTCAGTTTGGTATAACTTCATTTTTGACAGAAATAGAACCAAATAAACACAAAACAAGAAGCCACTCTCCAGCTCAAGCTGGATGGGCTCTCTCAGCTGAAAGCGAAACTCAGTCGTGTTTTTAAGAAATATCTTAACTT